TCTCTCTCTCTCTCTCTGTATATATATATATATATATATATATATATAAAATGCATGATTATTTTTTATTTATTTACTTATTAGTCAGAAAAATGTATTCCATTTGAATTAAGTTTATTTGTCTGTTTATTTTTTGTTACCATAATCTCACTACATTTGTTCAGAAAACAAGACTTAAAATGTCGTATGTCATCTTGCTCCTCAAGTAAATGTATCTTATATTAAAAATGTTGAGATATTTGTACTGGAAAACAAGACAAAAATACTAGATTTTTTTTTTGTTTTTTTTGTGCAGTGTAATAATAACGTAAATCAAAAAAAGATTTGCATTTTACTCTTCTAATTTGACATATTTCTGGTTGCTAAAGGATTTTAAATGGACAAAATGTAGCGCAGGATTCAGTTTTATCCAACAGTAAAAGATGAGAGGTTGAAAAGGGAAAAGACAAGGATTGATGACGTCAGCTAAACAAAAAAATAATGTTTTGATGAATGACTACAATCATTTTATTCTTTAGAATAGCATGCACCAACATGTATTAACAAAGTATATAGAATCAAGTGATTTCATGACAACTTTAATTGGCCAAATATCAGCGTTTATCATCACTGAATGGCTTGTTTTGCCAGCAAATGTTGTCCATCATTTCCAGCAGACCGGACCGCTGTAAAACTTTGCTTACTTTCTGCCCTACATTCTCATTACAGCTGTGAACGTGTTCCTTCAGCACCGCGCTTGAGGAGGATGTGGATGGTTGCCAGGCAACAGCGTATCCGTGCCATCCTCTCTATCCCCTCGATGTGAATGATAGCGAGATGTGGCGTAGCTGCTGTGAGGTTACACGTGCGCATGATCACAGTCTCTTACTACGAGCGCGAGGTGCGGTTGCCAGGCACTTAGTCATCGTGAGAGCTTCCTGTTTGTCTCTGCTGTGACCGAACAGCTCAAAAATGACTTCAGACATAAACATGCATCCAAGAGCAACACTGACCTGTTCATAAAACTCATTGACGATGCCTTCCGTCCACTGCAAATGAAGCGCCTTGCTTTTCAACGGACCGTTTATATCCGCTAACTTAATACACATCTGACAGACCAACAGACGATCATTCTCGTTCGTCCAATCAATGCCCGAGCATCCATCATCTCCCACCTGCAAACACAAAATACATACATAAATACATACATAAATCAAATGCACAGCATTTGTTGGTCTATACATGTATATCTGATATCAGAGGTGCTCACCTTAGCGTTGAATTCAGCCAGAAAGTCGAAGTGTTTCTTGAGGTCGGTGGCCAGGATGGCCTCGATGACCAGGAAGCGAAAGCGTTTGAAGTCCATGTTGTCCAGACTGGCCAGAAAGTTGTACTCGGGCCGCGACATGAACAGATTCCAGGCGGACGCAGCGTGATGATTCTCCAGCACCGAACGGTCATTATAAAGAACGGCCTTCAAAGACACAAAAGAGTTGTATGGTGCTGCACATGTTTCAAAGCCCCAGAACACTGTGTTCAATCACTGAACCTCGAAAACAACAGCTGTGTATAGTAATATCAGAAATATCACACTGCTTCCAGTATATATATATACAGTATCTCACAGAAGTGAGTACACCCCTCACGTTTGTAAATATTTTATTGTATCTTTTCATGTGACAACACTGAAGAAATGACACTTTGCTACAATGTAAAGTAGTGAGTGTACAGCTGTATAAGTGTAAATTTGCTGTCCCCTCAAAATAACTCAACACACAGCCATTAATGTCTAAACCGCTGGCCACAAAAGTGAGTACACCC